ATCAATTGCTCTGTAAAAAGGTGTGAATCATGACTAATAAAGTTTCTACGTTTGGCAATATAAAAAAAAAAAAAAAATATATATATATATATATCGAATTTAGTAATTGTGCAAACGGCTGTACTTCTCTTTATAATAACAAGGATCTAGACATGTTTTATAACAAGTTATCTGCACTTCTAGAACTGATAGTTGGATGGCATTATAAAGCTTTTTTGTATAACAGATGCATTATTGTTTCTTTTTATGGTGATTTTTAGCAGTTGTAGCTTAGTTACACACTGCATACACTTATACTAGCTACTTATATTTTTGGTAAACCCAAACTACTTTTAATGTCTAAAGACTCTCATATAGATATGCCCAGAGCCTTATTGGGTTTTAATATATACACACTTTCATGCTTTGGTCTCCTTTTGGTAAGCAGTTTTACACAGTGCCAGAGGTGTTTCAAATTTGGTAAGGCCAATTTTTTATTACAGATCCTATCAGTTACACGATTTGTCACACTATTTTACATGTAAATTTTTTATATATAAAATTATAATAAAAAACATATAAAATTACTATAAACTTTGCAGCTTTGATGTTTTTCGATCTACATATTAACTTAAAAATAAATTTTATGATCATATATAACAAATAAAGAAGAAAATTTTGAGCTTAAAAACTATATTAAAATTTTGCTATTTTTGTACAATTTCAAAAATTAACTTTATTAAAAACAAATATTTACTAATTTTAAATTAGTAATTATATGTAAAGTTATGCTCTGAACAACTTTAATTAGAAGATGAAAATAGGTTACCTTGATAGAAAAATGAGTTAGCTATGTACTAAAGTTAAAAATTCCAGTTTTTCTATATATAACTTTTTTTCTACTTAGATAACCTGCTTTCATCTTTTAATTAAAGTTGTTTAGAATAAAATTTTACGTTTATATAGTTTGCTGGTTTTCGCTTTTGCGAACCTTTTACTAAGTGAAAAATGGAGTTAAAGTTAGAAAAAAAATTTTCTTTTAAAAAATTTTTTTGTAAAATTTTTTTTTTCTAACTTTAAACTTATTTTTCACTTAGTAAAAGGTTCGCAAAAGCGAAAACCAGCGAATTATGTGAATGTAAAATTTTATTCTGAACAACTTTAATTAAAAGATGAAAGCAGGTTATCTAAGTAGAAAAAAAAGTTATATATAGAAAAACTGGAATTTTTAACTTTAGTACATACCTAACTCATTTTTCTATCAAGGTAACATATTTTTATCTTCTAATTAAAGTTGTTAATAGCATAACTTTACATATAATTACTAATTTAAAATTAGTAAATATTTGTTTTTAATAAAGTTAATTTTTGAAATTGTACAAAAATAGCAAAATTTTAACATAGTTTTTAAGCTCAAAATTTTCTTCTTTATTTGTTATATATGATCATAAAATTTATTTTTAAGTTAATATGTAGATCAAAAAACATCAAAGCTACAAAGTTCATAGTAATTTTATATGTTTTTTATTATAATTTCATATATAAAAAAATTACATGTGACATATCATGTGACTGGTATATATTGTTTAGACCGTATATATTCGGGTTCTAGAAAGAATCATTCAGCATTCCTCTTGCTATACCCACTTTTGATTTCACTATCTTGGTGTAGTTATTTAATAGCTTATCGCAGCTGCTCTTGCTTAATCATATATTTGATAGTTTATATCTTAACTTGGCTAGCACAATATTGTTTAATATGTAAATCGTCTGTTTCTTTGTTATTTTACTATATCTCATTTTCACAATATCTTGCATATATTTACCGATAATCTTTTTTCTAATATATATATTAGAGTGATGTCTGTCTAGGTTTGTTCCCAGAAATCTTACTACTTCATTTCTCTTTATATTATATACTAATTTATTCTGAAAATGTATCCCTGAGATATCGTTTTTATTATTGTGTATCAGAGCTGACTTTGTGAGATTGATCTTAATTTGAGCTAAGTCAAAGAAGGATAAGACAATATCTAAGATTTTTTCTAAGTTTTTCCTACTCAATACAACCCAAGTTGTGTTGTCCATATAAGCTATTACTGAGGTAGATATTTGTTTTTGTGTAGTGTGTTAAGAGCCAGCCTCTGTTATATACCCCAGGTTGGATTCTTGTATTTTCTTAATTAATGGGTTATAATAAATTCTCTATAATATTGGGGAGAGTGTATCACCTTGGTCTAGACCGTCTTCTACCTTGTATAGTGACGTTTTACCTAGTTCTGTTATAACTTGATTCTCTCTTCTAACTAGAATATTGATTAGTAGTTCTTGTTTATACTGATTCTATTTAATGCCTTCTCTAACAAAGATATGTGTACACGATCATATGCTTTCGATATATTCTGTACTAGTATTTATAGTTTTTTATTTCATAACTTAGCATCTTCTTAAATATGTGTTATTTGTTAAATCGGAAATAGCATTTGTGAAAACAGGACTGCAATGTTATTAGCATTGGATAGAATATTATTATATTTAGTTAATATGCTGCTTATTCTATTTGCTAGAATCTTTGTAAACACTTTTCGATAATGCTCAATTAGCGTTATGGGTTTAGTCATACTTAGATCATCTTCGCGATATCCTGACTTCGCTATTGGCTATACCAGACCTTTTTTCTATTCTACTAGTATTTCTTGTAGTGTTAATACTGCATTGTAAATCCCTTTTAACTTTTCAATAGCTATCCTCGGTAGTTTTTTCAAGGTTTCGTTTGCTAATATTGAGGGGCCTGTTGCTTTATCAACTGGGACCAACTTTATTGTCTCTTCTATCTCTTCTTGAGATATTAAATTTTTTAGTGAGCTAAAGGTTTTTTGATTAATGCTATCTCTAGGTCTGTATTCTTCTTCCTATTCATTCCATCTCTCGTAGTTCATTAGATTTCTCTGTGTCCATCTTTTAAAGTAATCTCTTGTCTCTCTTTTTATTTTGTCTTTATCTGTTATTACTTCTGTTGGTGTTATAATGTTGTCAAAAGATACTCTTGTCTTTACCCTCTTTGTTATACTGTTTACTATGCTCTTCATATTTTTTTTGAAATTTGTATATCTTCTTTCAATATGTTTATTAATTTGATCTCTCTTCGCTGCTAAATTCTCTAGTTTTCTTGCTTTTTGTATCGTTTTTCTAGCCGCTTTTACTTTTAATATTGTGGATTGCATATTAGAGGTCTGCATATCAACTTCATCTATATTATTTATTATAAGTTCTGTGAGCTTTTATTTTGCTATTAACTCTATCTGTTAGCTCTTTAATACTCCATGGTGCGTCTAGTTTTGTCAATAGCAAGATAACTTTGTTAAGTACTTTTATTCCTTTGTGTAGACTAGTTGCTATAAATATATAAGTGTGGTGAACTTTATTTGTACAGTAGCTTTTTGTAATAAATTTATTTGCAGCTTGTTTTACTATATTGCTCTAGTTGTTTCATGCTTTATTTAAGGATGCAATATTGATTATCTGATTTTTTAGTGTAGAGAATGCAGTCATATGTCAGGTGACATATTCTGTAAATTTTGTCCAGCTCTCTACACTCATTTTGTCATATAGGAATAACTTTCTATAACTTTTTTTCTTTCTTGTAGCTTTAGTTGTATATGCATCTTTCACTGGGTTTGTATTATTACATGATCACTATCCATAGTAAACATACTTGAATATAGGTTAGGTCTTTGAAACTTCTGAATTATTTCTGGATCGATCCACAGGTTGTTTGTCTATCTGACTATGCTGTTCACCTCATAACTATGTATACTCATTTATGTTATGCATTTGCAGCAGGCTGATTAGGCCTATATCTCCCAAGTGTTTGAGCAATAGGGCATTCTTTATTGTTGGGGTCTTTCTTGAGTCTTTATTGAAGTCTCCTATTACTAGTGTATACATGTTTTTTGCTTTTGCATTATTTACCCAGTTTTTTATCTCAGATTGGGCTTTTTTGTTCTCTTGGTCTAGCTTTGATAGTATGTACACCTCTATGACTCTGACATGTTGGTTTCTAGATAGGAAGAGATCAACTTTTATTGCTATTCCTGGTATCGAGCTTATATCATAGATGTAGTGCTATATTCTTTCACTTAGTGCTATTAAGACCCCTTTTGATAACTCGTTAACATTTACAGTTTTTTTATTGCAATTTGATATATATATTTTGTATAAAGAATTAGTATAGTGTAAAGGATATACAGATGCTGCAAGCTTTGTCTCTGTTATAACTATGATATCTATGTCTTCTTCTTTATAGTGTTCCAACCAGATCTGCAATTTTGTATTTAAGCTTATACCTTGAATATTATAATTTATGATTTTTATCACCTTATCCTTTAT